TCTTTTAGATAAGAAAAGATTAAAACAATTTTTTTAGGTTTAAACCCCATACTTTCAAATGAGAAAATTTAGGGAACTCATTTCTTTCAAGGGCCTCTTACCTAAAAGAGAGCAATCTGTTGCAACCCATGTTAAGATTAAAAAAAAAAAAAAAAGGTAATTTCAAAAGAAAATTACAAAATACTTCATTCTGCTTTTGAAATGAAAACAAGAAAATATTAATAATTTTACACACTCTCTCACTTACTTCAGTCTTGTGGCAAGGTAAGGGAAGTAAAATACTGAGAGTTGAGAAAGTGTGACACTGAGATAAACACATTGACACTCCCATGGAGGAAAGAGAGAGTGCACGTGCGCACACGCGCACATGCACACGTACACACACGAAGTGATGCATTTATGGAGACACAGTCTTTATAGAAGAATATACATACACCCAAGCTTGTGACTTTTTGGATGTTGTTACAAAAGACTTGAGACCATGTTACTGTTTTTTGTAACCATAAACATGAACGGATAAATCACTTCTTGGCATTTGCCTTGTGGAGTAAATGAAATTAAGTTGAGGTAAATTGTTCTCCTCACACCTGGTATAGCCAAATGAAAGACATTTTTTCTTTTTGTGCTGTTTAATTAAAGATTCTCAATGAAGTTTTCAGTTTGGAAATAATTGCCACTAAAATAAAAGGGGAAATGGCAGTCTTTTACCTTCCTACTTGCCAGCATAAATCTTTCCCTAGTACATCCCAAGCTTTTAAGGCAGACCTGAACAACTTGGCAGTAGGTAGAGGCCAAAATTAAAATAGGCCAAACTTCTTCAAGCCACAGATAGGTTTTTCCACTGCTCACTTTCCAAGTAAAGGTAACTAGAGACAGACAGAAGATGGTTAGTTTCTGCGGGTCATGTGACAAACAGGAGGGCGTGCACCTTTGCTAGCACCAAAATTCTTTGCCAGGCTGCATGTTTTGCAGGCCTGTCTTAAGGTCAGGGGACAGGGAAAGAGAAAAGGAGGAAAGCATTTAATCATAACTTACAGTTATCCTGATAACTTCGTGTTCCTCCATACCCCATTTCCAATTTTGTCTCCTCATACCTTGTTTTATTCCTGACTCTTAACTGTAGTCATTTTCCTGATTTTTTTATTTAACCAATTCATTACAGGTATGATTGACTATTTGCATGTGCAGATTGGCCTCTGCTAAAGGATACCATTTATTTTATTTTATTTTATTTTTGTTCTTTATTTCCTAAATCAAGAGCAAAATCTAGGGAATTGCCTTCAAATGGAATAGGCCCTGGTTCCAAGCTGGCCATCATTCATTTTCTCTCTCTCTCTCTCTCTCTCTCTCTTTGGTGAGGCAGTTGGGGGTTAAGTGACTTGCCCAGGGTCACACAGCTAGTAAGTGTCAAGTGTCTGGTCTGAGGCTGAATTTGAACTCAGGTCCTCCTGACTCCAGGCCCTGTGCTCTTATCCACTGCACCACCTAGCTGCCCCCTATTCCCTCTTTTCTTTGACGATCAATTTAATTTTTTCCAAGCCTCTCACTCTGTTCTGTTGGCAAGTCATTTTGATGGATCAGGAAAGTGAAAGGAGAAGCCTTTGTCTGGAAGGGACCCAAGAATTTTGTAGAAATTGGGTATTAGCACAGAACAGGAAATCATTTCTTTCTTTCTGCTCCTCAATTTTTGTATCTATAATTTTATAGAATTGGATTAGATGATTTCTAAGGTTTTGTCTGGCTCTAAAATTATTAAAGTGACTTCCCTTCCTCAGAAAATAGCAAGTTTTGGTAACAAAAATGAGATCTGGCATTTACATGGGATGTTCGGGTTTGCAAAGCGCTTTACGTATATTACTCCTTTTGATTCTCACAATAATCTTGTGGGATAGTTCTTATTATCTGTGTTTTGCAGATGTGAAACTGAGACTGAGAATGATCAAGTGACTTGTCCTAGGCCTTTCAGACTCCAGCTTGAACAGTGTTTTCGCCTTTCCAGGTTGCCTCTGTGTACGTGAACATAAGAGAGAGGACTCTTTTACTTTCTCCTGCTGTCTCATCCCATTTAAAGTAAACCTCGTACCTAATTTTCAGCATGTGTTCACACCATTTGCTTTGGTGCTGAATTCCTCTTAGATTTTGCCTTCCCATTAAATATGTTGTGTTAATAACTTATTTTTCCCTAGATGAGGTTTTTTAAAAAAGCAACAAGCTAATACATGCTTAATTTTAATTATTTTTCCTATTATTTTCCTAATCTCTTGAGGTCTGGATGCATTATTTTTCCGCTTTTCTAGATGGTTTTATGCCCTTCTCCTAGCACTCCCTTGTCCATAAAAGGTTAGACTGAGAGAAATTGAGTTTGAAGATGGCTAGGACATTTTTTATTTAGGAGTGGTCTTCAAAATATAGGAAAATTTAACTGAAGTTAAGCTGAAGAATAGCTTACTAGTATAAAATTGCTATTTTGGGAAAGCTCTTAAGTTTAGAAGGCCATTAAATTCTACTTCTTTGTGGCGACTGGGGAAACATAACATTATGTTTGTTCAAAAACGATGTGGTAGATTAACATGAAAAGAGTACCTTTAAAGTAGTAATGATAGCTTCCATTTTTAAATATTAATTTACAAAGTACTTTACATATTATTTTTCTCTTTTTTACAACAATTCTGAAACATAGATTCTTCAGGTATTACACTTTTCATTTTATAAATGAATTTTATAATATAAATAAAATAAAAAATAAAAATATAAATTTTATAAATTGCTCATAGATGCTAAATGGTCACGTATGTGAAAGAGAGGTTGAATTCAAACCCAGTGCTCTCTTGAATTCAAGTTCATACTTTGTTTAGACTGGACTGCCTTATTTTGTAATTCTGTTGTACTTCACCTTGCAAAACTGAGCTTCATTAATTGTGGGACCAGTGAGAAATATGATCATGGCAACATTGCTTAAGGCTCATCTATATGGTCAGCAGATTGGGAGACAGTCTGGGGGTTAGTAAGAGGAGTGCTTTGAATTAGGTCGATTCCTCTTTTGCTACTTGGTATGTGATTGAGGGTGAATAAAAGCAGGTTTGGGATTAGAAGAACTGAGTTTACTGCTTATTACCTGGGTGACCTCAAGCAAGAGACCTAACTTCTCTGGTCTCAGTTTCCTCACTCATAAAATAAGAGCTAAGACTAGATGGATTTCTGAGGGCCTTTCCAGCTTTAACAATCATATGATTCTAAATTCCTTCCTCTCTGATGGTTTTACTATAATATGTAAAATGGAGGTAATAATGCTTGTGAGGAGGGTGCTTTGTGAGTTGTAAAAACATATACAAATGTGATACTGTTATTATTCAACAAAATTAAATTTAGTCAAGTACTACCAAAGACAAGAAAATAACCAAGGGAGTAATTCCAGTGTTTCTAGCACACTCTTCTATAGCCTCTTCTAGACATGTTACAACTGATTTTACAAAGATCATTTGTAAGCATTGCATGTGCTCCTCATCTTCACAGCTCCCTTCCTTCTCCCCTCCTTTCTTCTCTCCCTCCCCCCTCCTCTTTCTCTCGCCCTTCTTTCCTTCCTTCTTTCCTTTCTTCCTTTCTTCTTTCCTCTCTCCCTTCCCCCTCCATTCTCTTTCTCTCTCGTTTCCTTCCTTCTTTCCTTCCTTTCTTCCCTCCCTCCCTTTAGTTCCTTTCCCACTCTTCCAGATTTCATGCATTTTCAGTGGCCATCCACTATGCCTGGATTTCTCTTTTTCCTTATCTAGATGTCTTACCAAGTCTCAGCTAAAATCTCAGCTCCCGCAAGAAGTCTTTCCTGATCCCCCTTAATGCTAGTGCCTTCCTTCTGTGATTATGTTATAATTATTTTGTATAGATATTGTTTGCACATAGTTGTTTACATATTGTTTCCCACATTCGACTATGAGCTCCTTGAGAGCAAGGACTTTTTGTTGTTTCCTTTCTTAGTATCCTCAGTGCTTAGTGCAGTGCCTAACACATAGTAGGCACTTAATAAACACTTGTTAACTTGATTTGATTTGACTTGGAAAGACTCTATCAATAGGACTGAGACTCTGAACACACAAGTGGTTGTATGCCAAGTCGGATGGTATATTAGGCCAGGCAGAAGTGGTTAGAGTTTTCTTAGAACTAAGTTTAGTTTGGAAGTTCTTTCTGAAGATGGACCAACCCAACAGAACTTTGCAGCTTTAATATTACCATGTCTGTGTCTTTGTATTTAGCATTTACTTTGGCAGAATCAGTTTGTCCATCTAGAGGAACCAGTTCAAATGATACTTTTAAAAAGAAAAAGTTTCTTGTTGCATTCCAACTTTTCTTTCCCTATAAGTCATTAATTTTTTTGCTTACTGTTTTTGGCAGTTTCCTAATTTAAATGCTGAAGATCTCACATAAAATTTGAACATTGAATTGGGTGGCTTATTGATGGTCAATCTGTGCTTTCTTCCATGCAAGTTTTATGGTGGTCACTATTCAGTGGTGTGTCAGTGTGCACCTTTGAGCAAACCTTATACATTAGTATATTATTATCTGATTATACATTTTTTTTTGATCCAGAACACAAGAATCAGGAAGTAAATTTTTAAAAGCCTCTGAGAAACTAAAATACATGTCTTGAAAGCAGTGTACTTTACTTAGAAGAGACCCTTACTCAGAATGTTTCTTTTTATTTTAAACATAACTCTAGCATATTTGGCAATCCTGTTTCTGAGCTCAAAGCACACCAAAGATATGGAGTTAGAAGGAAGGAATTGCTGGAGGCCATTATACTGTCAGCAAGAAGTGACAGCATGACAGCTATGGAGGAGACAGATGAATAATAAGAAGCAGACACAAGTCAAGAAGCACAGCAGGCTGGGGCTGTTTCCTGTAGGAACAAACCCTGAGGGTTTCACTTCCTGCTTTAGTTCTTTCAGTGTTGTTGTGGACAATACTGTTCTTGATACCCTGTAGGAGTCATCTTAGAGTTGATCTATACTTTTCTAAAGCAAGGGTGCAAGAGAAAGAACTGTGGACAAAGAATATTTAGATACGTTGGTTCTGTTCTCAGCTCTGCTACTGTCTAACTGTAAGTCACATAACCCTTGTGGGACTCATTTCATATGATTGTACAGATTTAGATCTGGAAGGGATCTTATAGGTCATCTAGCACCACTCTCTTATTTTACAGAAGTGGTAACTGAGGCTGAGAGGGGTTAAACGAAGTAACCGCAGGTAGTAAGTGTCAGAGTTGAAATTTGAACTCATGTCCTATGAATTAGCAGTTCAGTGTTCTCATCACACCTCTCATGTCTCATATAAAGGAGTGGAACTAGATGGTTGTTAAGGTCCCTTCATACTTTATTATTCTTAATTTGCTTAATGTATTTTATTACACTTCGTTGAAATGAATATAGTGGAAAAAGCTGTAGATTGGCAGTCAGAGGACCCATCTGTGTAGCCTTGGGCATGTCACTTCATCTCTGGACCACATTTTCCTTATGTGTACAATGAAGGGATTGGACCAGTGACTACTGAGGTCCCTTATGAGCTTTAAATCTGCTATCCCAAGAGGATTTTCCTTTCTCATATGCCATTAATTGCAGTTAAAAAGTTTGTATGTTTTTATGTATGTGTATGTGTTATGATTCCTCATTTTATAATTATATGATCCTCCACCACTTTAGAGTCGTAATTTGTCATGGTCAAGAACAATTCTAAAAGACTGTTGTCTTTAGAAAACTGTACCTGTTGCTGTGTTTCCATCTATAAAAATTATATTTCATGGACTACCTATAAATTGTGAAGTAATAATGTGGTAGGATGATTTTAGAAGATCCCTTTCTGATGGAAGGGGGAAGCGACATTTTAGCACGAATTTATGTGTTTCTTACATATTTGTTTAAAAATAGCCATACCATGTATTTCAGCTTAATTTATTTTCAGCCCCACATGATTTCCATCATGGAATCTTCGATCTGGTGACACAGGCTTCTTTGGTATTCCATGAACAAGACACTTCATCTCTTGGCTGTGGGCATTTTCACTGGCTGCCCCCCCATGTCTGGAATGCTCTCTTTCTTTGTTTCTTCCTCCCAGCTTCCCTGGCTTTCTTCACATTTCAGCTTCTATAGGAAACCTTTCCTGATCCCTAGTGCCATTCTCCTGTTGATTATTTTCTGTTTATTCTGTGTATAACTTTTTGAACATAATTGTTTGCTTATTTTCTCCCTCATTAGACTGTAAGTTCTTCAAGGGCAGGGACTGTCTTTTGTATCTTTTTGTATTCTGACCACTTAGCACGGCATCGGGAACATAATAGGTACTTAATAAATGCTTATTGATTGATTAAGATTTCTAAGTAAACACTCATTTCTTTCAAGGTGTTTGGAATGTGGACTCTAAAGAACAGAATTCCATGTAGTAACCATTGAAGTGACCTGAGAGTGCTCTGCAAATAAATGTACATGGGGAAATCTTATACATTATCCTTTTGATGGAATTGAGTTTTCAAAATAAATACATTTTCTGTTTATGAGTTAAAACCCATTTCAAAATACTGGGCTCTGTGAGCTCGTTTGATTCAGTTCAACAAGTTTATCATTTATTAAATGCCTACTCTAGTGTTGGAAATACAAAATAAAAAATGAAATAGCCTTTTCCCTCAAGCTTAGATTCAGTTAGAGTAATACAACATAATATTGACAAAAATAATTTCCGGTTCAGGCCACAACCCCTTTACTCTTTCTCATCTTGTGTGATGGTCACTCATGCCCTCCCTTAAGTCCTTTACAAAATGAGCACTCATTGTGCTGGAGGCCTTACTTTAGATCTGTTGATGTTGCACTGATACCAGTGGAGCATGAAATGTGTTCATTGGTTGTGTCTCAATCTCATTATAATCTCTTTTTGCACTATTTCCTAAAGGCAGTCCATCCCACTCTCCTCCTGTTCTTTCTGAACCTTTCTCATTGTACATCCCCACATTGTCTAAGGCAGCTAGGTAGTGCCTTGGATAGAGTGTTGGACTTGGAGTCACTTCTATGCCAAAATGAAACATCACAATAGGAAAAAAAGTAATGTGCCCATGATCTCCACCCTTTCTACTTTCTCTATTTCAGTGCCTTTTCCTTATGTTCACTAAACAGGTTTTCTGAAGTGGTGCGGTCCTGTTAGAACCTCTACTTCTATTATCTACAATCTGCTTCTAATTCTTGAACTTGAATGGGATTTTATAATTGAGGGAAAAGTTTAGAATGATGTCTAGTTTGCAAATTGGTTTTTGTTTAGTAATCACAACAAATTTTGAACAAATCACAAACAAATGATGAACTATACTTCATCAAGTACCTTATCTGATTACATCTTAATTTGTACCTTAGTTTCCTCATCTATGAAAGAACTGAACAAAGTGACCTTTGTTCTAATAAATCATGATACCATGTTTTAGATGGTAGGAAGATAAAATATAAGTTCCTTGAGGACAATTAGAAAGTAAGCTCCTTGAGGACAGGAGATTTTTGGCCTCTTTCTTTTTATCCGCAGAGTTTAGCATAGTGCCTGACACAGTGCCTAAGCTCTTAATAAATGATTGTTAATAGATGTTCAGTCTGTGCTTTCTTTCATGTAAGTTCTGTGGTGGTCACATTTTCTGATCCAGAACTCAGACAAGAGTCAGGAAGTAAATTTTTAAAAGCGTCTGAGAAACTGAAATAAATGTGTCAAAAGCAGTTTAATCAGATGGTAACAAATTTAACTGTTCTGTCAGCTTTTGCAGTCTCTTGGGTTTTGTTACTGATGTCCTAGACATTTCCCTCTGACACTGGGCAGCTGTTCATATCTGAGTTGGAGTTTCACAGGTAGCATCTATCCCATATTTAAAACAAGAGATATGTATGAGCTTAAGAGCTCGTTTCTGACTCCATCTTTGACTTCACCTTGATTTAGGAGTGTTTATGATGGCAAAGGTCTGTTTCAAGGGCAAGGTTGGGAATGGAGGCCTCTTCATCCCAGAACATTACTGTTGGTCCTAATCAGTTGCTTATTCTGTTGCTATAGGAGCCTGTATGAAAACAAGAAATCACTAGATATGTTTTCATAAGAACCCAGGCTGCCTGATAAGTGTTTTGCTTAGAAGCTTCTTTTGTCCTCTGAGTGATTCAGTCTGGCGTTTGAGGGTATATAAAGGGAAGTGGGATGTTTGGACTTTGGAAGGTTGTAAAGCCAAGTCCATTATATTAACTCTTTTCTGTTAATCGCTAAACTCTTCAGTGTGATTCCTTGGGGCTTTTCATTTGAATAGGTTAGTGTATATATTAATATTTCATTGGACAGCTAGGTTGCACAGTGGATAGAGTACCTGGCCTGGAGTTAGGAAGACTTATCTTCCTGAGACACTTACTAGCTGTGTGACCCTGGGCAAGTCACTTAACCCTGTTTGCCTCAGTTTCCTCATCTGTAAAATGAACTGGAGAAGGAAATGGCAAAGCACACCATTATCTTTACCAAGAAAACCCCCAAAATGAGATCACAAACAGTCAGACATGACTGAAAATGAGTGAACAACAATAAATATTTCATTCAAATGCTTATTATAACCGAAGCTGGGTAGCACATCTTCTTGTCCTAAGTTTACAAAATCCGTCACTGAAACTATTGCCAAAAATTCTTTTACTGTTTTTGTACCAGTTAATCTAGGTTGAGAAGTTGAGAAGGAACCCTAAACAAAATAGAAAGAAATGAGTCATTCATGTCTTAGGTCGTTGACCTAGAGTCACAGAATTCAGGAATGGATGTGAAACCCATGCTGTCATGCTTCACAAAGATGCCAAGTTATCTTGTAGGCCATTGGTCGTCCACATTTCCCAAGTTCAGTCCGATTTAATAACCAACCAGGAGTATGAACAAAATAAAGAAGTATTTTATCTAGAGCAAAAATTCAGTTAACTGGAGCCCTCAGTTAACTGGAATATAAACATTTGTGTTTTGGAGAAGTAAATAAGGGAAGTTGCCTTTAGGGATTTGGTTAAGTAATGTGTTTAGAGTTTGTTTTAGCCACAGTGCAAATCCAATTTATTATGAAGCTACAACCTAGGCACTATGGAACAGGATCATAGCTGGAGTGGTTGCCACTAGGTTGCTAATAAAATTGCAAAAGAGGGAAAAGTTGTCTTCAGTGCATTTCTCTGGATCTTTCTGGCTTAGTGTACTATTCACCAGCTGTCCAGTACCTGTCATTGTGGTACTTCCATCTAAATGAACTCTGTCCTTTTAGGAAATAGTTAAGCACTTCTCTAACCCTGCTTCTCTTGCAGATAGAAGAATTGACATAGCATGTTGGATAGATAATGGAAAATTGCAAGACTAATGTAATAATCTGAGCTTAACCCTTTTGGAATATATTTGCATCTTCCCTGTCATCCACACTTGAAGCCCATCGCCTTCCTCTCTTACGTTCAAGTTCTTTAAAATCTAACTTTGAAATATCTTTTCTTGATGGCCCTTTCCTTTCTACTACATCTGCAGCTACCCTGATTCAAACTTTTAGCCTCACCTCAACTAGGATCTCATAGCTCCCTGTTGGCATCCGTGTCTCCAGTCTGTCTTTTCAATAATCCATTTTTCACACAACTACCAAAGCAATTTCCTTCATGCACAGAACTGACCATGCACTCTAGAAGAACAAAATGGGTTAAAATCCTTGATTATAATACAACATGCTGTTTTATGGGCAGCCTATTGAATTACTCCATGATGATGATGATAATAGTAATACATGTTTCTAGAATGCTGTAGGGCTTACAAAATCGTTTTCCTCAAAAGAATCCTTAAGGTAGATAGTGTATTACTGTCCTCATTTTACAGAGGAGAAAACTGAGGCTTAGAGAGAGAGAATAACTTACCTAAAGTCGTACAAACTAGAAAGTCCTGGAGCTGAAGTGCCGTATTTGTATGCGTGAAATATCAAAAGTAACTGGGGAAAGCCCACAGTGTGTTTTGTGGAACTTCCTGAGGATTTATAGAAAGAAATGGGAACAACAAGTCAGGAAGGCACAGCATAGCAAGTGTACCTGCATCAGCACTGTGGAG